TCCGATTATTGTAAATTGTTAGTAAGTTTAAATTAATATTTACTTGTAACGCTGAAGAACATTATGATTCCACTATATAATTTTGAACAAATTCGATCCTATTATGTTCAGAACCATCTTGTAAAGATAACCTTCAACCGATTTATTTAATTTACACAAGCATATATCGGATTGGAGTTTAGGATTATCTCCGGAATGTTTATCAAAATTATAAACGCTTAGTTTAGCCTAAAACATTAAAATAATCTACATATTATTTTTCCTTTACTAATTCCAGCAATTCAGTCCTTCACCAATAGAGCTTTCGCTAACAATTTCACAATTCTGCGGTACCAGTTGCAGCGTCATACTTATAGTTTTTGTAACAACTTATTTATTTATTTCTTAAGTTAAAGAAATAACTGTAAAAAACCTTTCGGTGAGAGTAGCCAGTTACCAATTTACACGAGAAGGTACGCGATATCAGATTTTTAGGTATGCAAATTTTCATTATGACAAATGTTTTCTCGTCGGATTATATGATTTACAAGCGACCTTCAAGACACCAATCTTGCTTTAACGTATATAATGGCAATGCAGCAGATATAATCATCGTAATGACCAGGTCTCAAATCATAAAAAAGGAACACTCGTGATGTTGTTACTAACGTTTCTATTTCAAGAAGGGTACAAACATGCTTAAAGAAATTAAATCCTTTGAGAAATCCAAAGTATAAGTAGTTAAAACGAGGTGACGATTATTTCTCAAACTAAAACTAAAAGAACAGTAATTGCGGTTATAAACTATCAAATAGCAATCTTACCGAAGTGTCAAGAAGGATAAGTTCCGCTTTTCCTTTGCTCAATGCCTGTTTGGAATGTGCCATTTTTTTCTACCTGTTCCAGTACTCTATATATATTTATTTATTTATTAGGATATTGTCTGACACCATTTTGCGTCGTTCCGATTTATCGAAAATTAACTGAGCCTTCTTACAGCTGGATTACAAATACAAATATTTCTCGTGTAGTACACACCCGTTTCATCTAAGCGAATATATTGACTGAGAAAATCGGTTTAAAATAATCGAGAGAATCGAAGTCTATTGAAGGATTGCTCATTAATATTTCCTTGTAATAGGAATGGAACGGTCCTGTCTTAGACCGGCGGTATTTGATATATGACCAAGCTATATTGTGTTAGAAAATGGGAAATGAAGCAAAATAAAATATTATCACCATTTCATCTGATACATACATTTTTAATGTCGATTTTATTTATTTAGCTTTGCTCAAAATTAATCTGATTACTGCGTCGTTTAATCTCGTTTCGGTTCCGACATTAGTGAATGTTAAAAAACCGGCTCAAGTACCGCTTATGCAACGGTCCAGAATGAATTTAGGACTAGGACCGTCTCAAGAACGGCCTTAGGACCGGCCCAAGGACTGAATTATCGGTTCATAAGAAAGATGAAAGACCGGTCCTTTCGGACCGGACTGATACATCCTACTTTGTAAGCCTAATACTTAAATGTCAAAGCAGTTCTTTAATAAATACCGTTTAAATATATACACAAAAATATAAAATGTCGGTAAAATAAATGTGCAAGCGAAATGACTGTTGGCTAAAGGTATTATGTAAACAGGTTTCGGCGAAAGATTGTCGGTTACCGACGGTTCCTTATCACCATTTTGTGATGATAATCCTTAAAAGTTGCATCACACACCTATACGATGTGTATTAACTTGGATTCCGGAATTTTTTTTTCAAAAATTGAATGATTTAATAAATTAATGAACTTTTGGTACCAATCTCTGGATCAATAATAGAAGTCGTTGTTTCGTTTGACCGCCATAATAAATGAGCAAATAAGGTTCCAGCTTGTTTGCGCTATATTGTTTTAATATTGAAATTGAGAATATTTTTTGTACGTGACACATGATCCTACCCAATTTAGATTTTGTTTCGGAATCGTTCACGGTAACGTTAGACGTTTTAAAATAAAAAAAAATGTTAATCATTTAGGTAATACCTGACGTATAAAATATAAAAAGGTTTTGAACAAATGATTTTTTATGTTAACTTTACTGAGGCAGATGAATATTTTTTTTTTTTTTAATTCGATACATACATACTATAATTTTGTAAATAAACAGACATCATTTCAATAATTTTGAACGAATTAAAAGGATTTGAAAAATTGGCAGAGCAAGGAAATGTTTTCTAATGTTACCAACTGTATAAAAGATATTTAATAAGGCATGAATTAAAATTATACGCATTTACATGGTTGATCAAATCACACTTTTAGACAGCTGCAAATATTATAAGTGCAAAATATATCGCAAGTAACAGGTAATTTGATCGTAAACATTCATGAAATAATGCAATTAAACGAAAGACGTATGTATCCACGTGATATCTTAGTATTGACTTAAATACTTGTATATTTGATGAACGCAAATAAAGGATTTCAAAAACAAAAAAATTTATTTATATCAAGAAATAAATCGTGGAATTATAAAAAGATATGCGATACATTTCCTTTTATTTTACCACTTTGATTAGTATAACAGGACGATATTTCCAAATGTATCTATCAATCTATTTATATCATGTACGAGTTTTTTTTTCATGTTTTTCGTGCTGATGCATGTAACCTGCATTCACGATTTTTATGGGAGAGAATTCAAGTGTAGAGGATAGACGAAATTATTTTTAACTTTTTGTAAAAAAAAAAAAAATAAAAAAAAAATCATAGTTTTCATGTCATTTTTCTTTATACTAGGAAAAGAAAGCATGTGCAATAGTTAGGTTCAATGTAAGGAGACTTAGGGCGGATTTTTTTTTTGTGTGAGAAAATGAATTTCGTCCTAGCGATTGATGTATTGAATAAATTATTTCTCGATATCCCCAACCTTTTTTTCAAAAAAATAAATTATTCTCCAGAACCTTCTTTAAAGAGAGAAAGAGGCTCTTTACCAATTCAGCTCGAGAATTATACAAAAGAGGATTTGAGATGTGGGGATAATGCATGTAATAAAATATATTGGAGATGAAATTAAACTTTAATTGAGGTCTTTTCGACGAACCAATTAGATTCCAGGCTAACTTAATATCATTACTATTTTTTTTATTCTATTTCGCAAAAAAAGCAAAAAAAAAAATCCACTAAATCAAATCAAGGTAAGTTTGGACCATGTGAGGCAAACCAAAAGGACAAGGAACAAACAAAAATAATGAGGCAACGATTTAATTTCATAAAGTCGTACGTCACATCATCTTTTGGTATGGTTTGGAGTCAATTTTTTTTTAATCATTGTTTTTAATGCGACACAAACTTGAGCACTTTATGCAGAATTTTATTTTAATTAAATAAATCATAAAGTATTTTTTTTTTTGTTTTGCTGAGCTTAACGAAAAAGAGTTCATTGAAAACGAAAATCAAAGGTTGTAATTGGTGAAGTTGTAGATCATTCATGTAGATATTTATTTAAAACATCAAATGATAAAACTTGCGAGATATTACAAGCAAAAAATGACTCCAATTTTAGAAATATGATAATGCGCTAAAACTACTTATGAGTTTGAAAGCAGGGAAGGGTCGCAATAGAATTTGCATAAATGAAAAATACTCGTTTAATACGGCTGACATCCAATATCAGTTGACGAATGGTTTACCTCAAGCTTTATCAAACATTAAGTTTCATTTATTACACATTTTTTAATTAGTTCGAGATTCCGTTCCTTGGAATTTCTGATGTTGAAAAACAAAAAAAAAATAAAAAAAGAAATTGATTTACAACTTTATTAAGTTAGTATTAAATTTCATGTACAACTATTTGATACACATCACGTCAATTTCGATCATCCATTCGGTTGTTTAATAATTATGGTCAAGTTTGGTAAAAATGCAGGTGTTTTTAAGCGCTTTCTTATATATTGTTATATTTAAGCTATCTCAAAAAAAAGCGAAAATAAAAATAAAGTGTCAAGGAGGTAATTAGATAAAAATTCTTTTTAAATCCATATATATGGATTATGGTCTCTCTCTTTTAGCATGTCGAATTAATGTACAATTATGACAAGCGAAAAATTAAGGTCACCTTTTTTCTCGTGAATAAAAAAAAAGTTCGCAAAGCAAAATTCTTGGACAATTTTGGGTTTGTATTTAATATGATTGATGCAGAAACTCGGTTTATTGTGTTTTTATTTACGGAAGATCGCTGTTGATTTTTATTTATCTAATATTTTTATCTAATAAAATAAAATTCAATTGATTGACAAAAGGATAATCTACCAATTTCTAAAATTTCATTCATGTTTTTTAATTTCTTTCGTGACGAATGACCTGGATAAAAAATGCATGTCACGTGAAGTGAGCAGTAAACCAATTATATTTTTCAAAGCAAAATTTATCGAAAACGCGTTGTCCGACGGATAAGATGGATAACGTGAGTGATTATTTTTTGAACGTCCATTGTTTCATTATTAAATATAAAAAGATACGCCCGTGAGAAGATTTTTTGATGTCAAGGCTAAACATGTCAATTTCCTTTTGAATTTTTCGTCCATCCACGCTTAACAACATCGAAAAAAAAAAATCGGGGGGGGGGGGGAAGGGGGGAAAACCTTTGGATCAACATTCTCAAATAACGCAATATAAATAAATAAATAAATCAAAATTCTCGGTTTTACATGCACGACACAAATCAAGGAGTCAATAGTGAAAAATACTTTGTCATTTCACCTCATGAAATTAATAATTATATCATCCTGCCAAATTATTGACAGGTTTGTTGTTTAATGGTAGAGTTTCACACGTGAAATCTTAACGAGATTTTTAATTATAAAAAGAGTCCAAAAATTTCAACAATTAAAATTTTTTTTTTTTTAGAAAATAACAGAACAAAAAATTGTCTCTTAACAAAAAGTTTTTATTTAATAATCTCAAATTAAACAATTGTTAACAATTGTTCAAGAAACCTTCCTTATTCAAATTGACATTCTAGATTAAAACATGGATGAAGCCACCAAAAGAAAGTATTGTCATCTTTTGATGTTTGACGTTTCTGAACAAAGTCAAGAAACAGCTCTAAAAAACAATGTTACTGATCAAGGTGATAATGTAAAACCTTGTCTCAATAACTCCTCACGACAAACGGCAACAACCATTGCCCCATCGTCACTTGCAAACAAATCCATAAAGCAACGAAAACCTCGTGCAAGGAAACCTAAAAGAACACCTCGACCACCAAATGCATTCATCTTATATCGAAAAGCCAAGCAACCCGACGTTATCGCTCATAGTAAAAATTTAACAAATGCTGAAGTATCAAAGGTTATTTCCAAGATGTGGTGGAGAGAAACTGAAGAAGAAAGGTTTCAATGGGAAAAACGAGCCGATAGAATGAAATTAAAGCATATGCAAGATTATCCTGATTACGTTTACCAACCAAAGAAACCTGGTACCAAAAAGCGAAAATCCCAACGTGATAAATCCATGAGTGATGTGACTTCCGCATCAACATTCTCCGTCATACCATCATCGGAAAAGAATTCAACCACATTACCCGATGAAACCATCGCCGCAATTGCCGAAGTCGCCTTCATCGCCGGATCCAACAGGTCCATGTCCCCGACATCCGACAACCATTCACTACCATCTCCTCCATCGTCCACCGACAGGTCGACAACTGATCAATCACCAATCATATCATTGCATAATCATCATCACATGACTTTTCATCATCACCATCCCAATTACGCTGCTGTATATTCCCAACTTCCACCAACTCCAGCGACCGAAGTATATGATATCACGTCACAATATTTGTTGCCTCCATCTGATAATTACATTTCACATGGTCATTTCACCTCGCAACAATGCTTTAGTCCGATTTATGAGACCTCTTATGATTCTCATCCAAACTTATCAGAAAACTTTGATTCCTTCCTTGATGCTCAACCCGTAGACAAATTTTCCTATTTCATCGGCCAAGATGCATACGCCGCGTCGTCTTCTCAGTTTTCTTATCCTTTCAACTGTTATGATGTTACATCGGCTGACAATTACGCCAATTTATCCAATTCTACAGGTGAAACGAGCGTGTTACTCAATGAATTCCTTAACAATGGTGCAACAATTTCGCCACCAGCTCCTACGATGATCGAAGATATGCCAAACCTATTTTGACGAGTCACATCAAGCCTCATTCTCTGCTCAGCATCTCGAATAGGACAATTTCTTTTGAAAAAAACAAAAATTTTTCGAAAAATTTTCTTGTTTTCTAAAAAGCAATATAAAATATAAATAACAAAAAAAAAAAAAAAAAAAAATTTTTGATTAAGCATACTAAGCTAATATTGTAAAATTTTATCTTTTCACTTATTAAGTTTAGTGCATAACGATTACGTTTTTTAAAACAAGAAAATTTCTCGACAGAATGAAAGTTCCCCTTATTACATATCAATTCCCCCACCCTAAAAATTTCTTTTCTTGTAAACATAATTAAGTAAAAAAAAAAAAAAACACCACTTTAAAATGGGAGGGCCGATTTCTTTTTTCTTTGAAAAAAGAAAAGAAATTTCAGATTCTATGAAATATAATAGTTTTTTTCCTTTGGATTTAAATGAACATTAAAAACGAACATTATTCGGCGTAATTATTGTAATTATTGAATTACGCTAAATATTTTTTTTCTCTTCTTCATTACTTTAATAATTCTGTTTATAATTACTTCTTTTTTTTTTAACGTTTTTGTATTAATTCCAAAAAAAAAAAAAAAAATTTTAAAATAAAGTACCGAATTTTGATTGGTTGAAGTAAATGAATTTCAAAAAAAAAAAAAAAAAAAAAGTGGGCTCAAAATTATAATAAATATTGTTCTAATAAATTATCTTCTGACGAAACATTCAATCTCTTCGACCTGAAAATTCGTTGGTATATCTACAATTTTAGGATACGAATGCGGATGACTTTCCCAAGTCATAACACTATCAGCGGCATTTAACTTACAGTGTAAATCTACACCGGCTCCAAATGCCACGTCTGGTGTGATAATGTTTATAGTATTTCCATGGCTGTCGGCATTAACATGACTAACTTTAGCAGATTGTAGGTATTTTCTATTTTTAAATGAAAATATAAAACTGTCGCTTGTATCCTTAAATCCTTGATTATTGTCCCATACAACTGGATTATATTTGTGGGGAATCTTTTATCTTTGCCACAATGATGGTCAACGAATTACCATCGCATCTGCCATGAAATGCATCAGCAGCCATCCCATCCCTACTAGCACGGTACAGTAGCTCAAATCTATAAGGATTATTCCTTGAATTGTAATGAAAGCTTTCTTTCTTTTCAATCCAACTTGCAAACATATCAAAATGTTCTACTGATCATTAAAACTGTATCAAGTTGTCGCAAACTTGAATTTCCAATATTTTGTTAGCAACCATATGAAATTCCCAAATTTTATGCAATAGTTCTTTTGGAAACAACTTTTTATAAGGTAAGACTTTATAATAAAAATCATGTGATGATATGTGATAGAATCTGACCAGGTGGATAAATTTACCTTCATACGATCAATTTCTTCTTTTTTCCATGATTTGACGTCCCTAGAAGCAGTCGGAAATCGTGCCAAGCACCACTTGATCAGATTTCCCAAATTACGATTTCATCCAAATAAAAATTGTCCCTCTTAAACAGCACTTCCATGATGTTTTCGCTTAAATGAGTGTACCGATCAGATTCAATTAATCTTTCGGGTTCTTCACATATCTTGCCTAAACAAAAGTCCCATAAATCGCTAAACAGTTCACTCTGATAAGTTTCCTCTAATATTCCTATAGGAGTTTGATTCAAAAACTCTTGCTTATTTTGAATCAAATAATCTTGAAGGCATGTGACCATCGACGGCAATCAATAATTTCAATATGTCGAGACCTTCTAAATCCGTCAAATCAATATTTCCGCTATAAATGAATCTAATCAGAAACAAAGAAATTGGATTCGTTTAATTACACGTAGAATTCGTATCGCAATACAAGTTTGAGGATTTTTTACATTACTTTAGAATCATTGTAAATAAAAATGGTGAAATGTTGGGCTTTCGGATAATAAAGTTTCCTTCATCGTCGATATCAGCCCAATCGTTAGAGAGTGCCGTATTAAAGTAAACCGACCTAGCACATAAAATATTTGAATGGGCGCGTAATTCTTTCACTTCTTCGCTTCCACCCATTTTAATTTTATTTTATACTTTCACACGGTACCAGATGATACAAATAAATGCGGTTGCTCGATGTGGGAATTTTAAACTTTATTATTTTTTAGCCAAAAATGAACTCACCCATATTTGGACGAAGTCGTCAGTATTACGTAACCTTTGATTCTAAAACTTGTCTCGATATAGTAAGAGTATTCGTAATGAAAACGAAATTGATCAGCAACCAATTTTATCTATTCATGATTTAGATCATAAAATTACTCCTGGTAAATTTTTTCTTACGGATGCGAATTATTTCTCAGAGAAATAAGGATGAAAATTACATTTCGATAAACCGACGATTTATTCTTTGAGTTTATCTACATTAAAATTATATGAACTGAGTTTTTAAGTCAGTTTTCTTGAAACACATCGTACCATAACTGAATTTCTAACGATTCTTGAAATTTCATAAATATTCGATTACATCTCCAATAAACTTTCGTATAAATAAATAATTTAAGTGAAAAAAGAGTTTGTAATCACGCAATTTTATACATATATAAAATAATTTTTTATTGAGATAAAGATATATACTTTACAAATGTCAATTTACGATAAAATATTATACATCAAAAATGTATTTTATCTTTTAATAACTTGAAATACCTCATAATCATCTGGTTGAAACGGAGTTGGATTACCAATTTTAGTATAAGAATGTGTGTTATTAACATAACTAGAATTATTATTACAATGAATATCATGACCACCACCAAATGTTGGACCATAATTTTGTCCACAATATATAGCAGTACTACCATCATTCTTAATATAACCTACTTCTGCAGTTTGAAGGTTTGTTCTATTTACGAATGAGAATATAAAACTATCCTTAGTTGACTTATAATTATCACTTTGATCCCAATAAAGCGGGTTATATCCTCCCACTATTTGTTCCGATCCTTTAAATTTTATTATAACGATAGTAGCACCTTTATTATCACATTTTTGATGAAACATTGCAGATGTATCGCCATCCTTACTGGCACGATAAAGTAAATCATACTTATAAGGATTCCTTTTTTCATTGTAATGTAAATTTTCTTTCTTATCGATCCAACTCGAAAATATGGCAAAATGCTGAGGTTCGGCTAAGATTGAATCACATGCTGGATGTCTAGGTGGATATATGTCAAGATTGGATTTTCTACTTGGTGCCAAATAAAATGTAAAGATGTTATTAGCTAAATCTTTTGGTAGTAATTCTTTTAAAGGATAAACTTTATCAAGAAAATCTTCGGAAGAAATATAATGAAGCCTGACTAAAGGAATGAATTTATGAAGAGTTCCTTCCATAATTGTCATATCTTCTTTACTCCACTCGGTGATATCTTGCGAAATAGAAGGATGTTGTGCAAGTCCCCATTTTACTAAACTATCCCAAATAACAATTTCATCTAAACATAAATCATCCCGCTTTAAAATTAATTCCAATATATGAGCTTTTAACCCGATAAATTCATCAGAGTCAAATAATACTTCGGGTTCCTTGCAGATGTTTTCAAGGCAATAGTTCCAAAGGTCTGTAAATAATTCATGTTGATAAACCGTTTCAAGGATTCCCAAAGCATTTTGTTGTAGAAAGTCATCTCGATACTTAATTAAGTATTCTTGAATAGATTTGATTAAATACTGAATATTAAGTTCGTCCACTGCAATTAAGAGTATTAATATATCATGGCCTTGTAGTTCTGACAAATCAATCCTTCCACAATAAAGATATCTATATATCAAAAAAAAAAAAATTTTAAAATTAAAAAATAAAATCCAATTAAAATATAATATATTTATTGTGTTAATTTAAACTTATAAATTTCACATTACCTTAGAATCTTTCCAAATAGTAATGGAGAAACATTGGGTTTCTTGAAGATAAATTTTCCATCCTTTTTCTGAGCCCACTCGTTATTAAATGCCGAATAAAAATATTCCGATCTAGTACACAAAACAAGTGAATGTGCATGAAATTCCTTTACATTTTCATTTTCGCCGGCGTAGATAATAACATCATATCCTGTTTCTTCCTTCAGCAATTTTTCAAAATCATTAATAACTTCTTGCAAACATTCAAAAGACATGATTTTCTTCTTTTTATCAAGTTAAAAATAAAAAAAAAAAAATAATAAATAAAAAAAAAAATAAATTTATGCTTGTTATATACCAATTCGGAACAATAATTTTTTGTACTACTATCATGTGAATTCTGCTCGTAGTTAACATTTTCGTCCAACTTATTAGTTTTAATTCTAAAACAAATTAGTAATACATACTTCCAATTATGATCAAATCATTTCCGCTTTATAGTTAACATTAAATATTTTTTTTTTTTATTTTTTTTTTTTTGAAAGAATTACTTTACTGTCTTTAAATTGTAAAGATTTACAGACTATTTATTTATTATAAATAATTTTTATTTTTTAATTATATAATGAAATTTAAAAATTTATAAACTAAAATTTATCATTAACCTTTGATAATCTTATTAAAATTTACTTTTAATAATATTATTTATAATACATAAAATATTATAAAATTTATTATGAAAAATAACTTTATTATTACTATTTTTATAATTATTAAGAAATTTTATGATTTTATTAGTAAAATAATTCAATTAATTTGCAAACTTATGAATTTTTTTAATTATTTTAAAATAAACTTAAATATTTTTTTAATAAAGTTGATAAAATATATATTAAATTATATTTTTCATATAATTATTATATTACTAAATTATTATTTAATATTTTATTAAGAAATTAATACTTTTTAAAGTTGCAGGCAAATTTGCTTACTTTACAGTTTAAAAGATAATAAATTTAATAAATTAGTATTAACTTTTATTAAATAACATCTAAATTAATATTATAAATTAATATTTATATAATAAATTAATTTAAAATTAGCATAAATTCAGATATTATCTTAAAAAAAAAAATAATTTAACACTTTTAGAATAAAATTTTTTTATTAAATTTTATTTTTAATATATGTAAAGCTTATTTAATAATGAGAAAATATAAAAATTATTTAATAAACCATCTTTATTATTTTATGATATTCTAATATATGCATAAATATTATTATAATATCTTCTTTATTAAGCAAGTACTTTTAGCTTTTCTGATTTTTCATTTTTTTGTATATTTTTTTTTATCTTTACTATTATAACTTTTCTATAAATTACATAAATAAAAGAATATTAAAATCTATATTAATATTATTAAATGCTATTACTTCTCTATCATATTATAAATTAATTTAATATTTTTTTCTATAAATATTTTTCATTAGTTTTAACAAATTAGTTTATAATATTTTAACAAGTAATATTACTTTTACATCTAAGCTACTTGGTATTCTTTTTTTAATTCTAATTATATCTCAGAAAAAAAGTAATCTTAGAATCTGTATTTATTTTTTTGTTAAAGTCAATTTGGATCAAAATAATATATAATGTAGATTTTTTATAAAAAGCTAATAGTTTATCAATTAATTTTTAATTTCAAAGATATAATAATAAAATGTATATAACTCTTTAATTAAAGAAAAATTGATTTGTTTTAGATTGCCAAAAAACTTGTATTTATCAATCTTAAAATTTATCACATTTGTCATAAGTTTATTCTTAAAGATACTAGTAATGCATGTTTTCTTTATAATGAATCTCTTAATGATGGATTATTCTTAAATTCCTTTATATAATAAATTTAAATTGAATTTATGAATACATTCATTCTACCTTTTAAGGAGATAATTGGTCATACAATTCTGTACAAACTCTTAGATATAATAACAATGGTTATGTTTCTTAATGTAGAAGAACTGATAATCATAATCATCCTATATGAAGGATAACCATTTATTAGGAAAGATGACATCAATATGATGTAACTATGTACAAACTAAAGATACATACAATTCTCATTTCTTTTGCTATAAATTCTGAAAATTTCGTCATTGGCTCAATAGTTGATCCCATGCATTTTCGAAATTTTAGGAAACCTCTTTGAGAACTAGAAGAAAGCTCAAGAAGAATGGATTATTGCCATAATATATTCAATTCTTTTCTTTTGCTTATCATTCATTGATGGCAAATTGGAATCATTTTCTTCCACCATTGTGTCATCTCTTCCTAAAGTAAATATTATATTAATACACAAACATCCAAGCATAAAGCATTTAATATAATATTACCTCATCAAATCCTCTATAAAGTGTGATCTTTTTTTCGTTAGTCTGCTTTCGCATAAGATGTAACGCTGTTTTGTTGTTCACTGACGAACTCCTAATACAATAATGTATCGAGGTCATTTTATTGAGTATCTCTTTAATAAAACTCTTTCTTCTTTTGACAACTTCAGTTTTATCATCCAGATCCAAAGCATTTTATTTGGTCTATAATAAAATATAACAGTCCTGATGAATTACAGAATATTATGATATCATCAGTTGTTTCACTGGCATAAATTTATCACTATTAGCGTAGGCGAGTAATAAGGCAAACTTAATGAAATTTCTAGGTTATTAGCTAATTCACGATAATCGGGAAGAAATACTACACACTTCCCGGTTCGAAGAAGAAAGTATGTAATTGTTGCAAGAATAAATGATTTTTCATATCCAATAGTTTCATAAATGAAGCAATCTATATAAACGTTCTCTTTAAGTTCGTTAATATTAGAGTTCCGAATGAGTCGAGTCGAGTCGAGTTTAAAGACCAACTCTATTCGACTCGTTTTTTTCAAGTCGAGTCG